ACAACATTTACCATTCATCTTCAATGGGAAGAAGTGCTGGTTATGTCCGACATAGTCCATGCGGTGCATGATGGGTCTAGCACATTGAGTTTGAGGGGGTGTATCCCATCAAAAAGTTGAGCAGAGATGAACTTTATGCAAATTAATCTGGCTAAAACAGCGCGTCTACCTAATCAGGAGGCAGATGTTGTTTGTGTGATTCGTGTCTGCTGGTCAACGCATGAAACATTTGTATGTGGCAAAAGGAGGATGCATTCATGCCCGTTGATGCACTGGAGCAGTGTAGATGCAGCATAAATTTTTAGGGCACCTAAAGACAAGCAGGAGTTATTTCTTTTAAGGTTCTCTACCAGACAAACATTAGCTTCACACTGCACATGTGGAGGTCAGTAGTAAGTCTGACCTGTATGCTATGTTTCTCTGCCCACAGCTGGCAATGTGAGATAGCTTCTTTAAATGTACAACTTAAGGAAGAAGGACAAACAAACTATCTGTATCAATAACTGTACTGGTTAATGTTTTTGCTAAATAATCAGTTGTCGGCCCAGCATTTTTCATTTTGGTGCATCGCTAGATGTGTAAGATTTTCTTTTTTTTTAAATTGCAGCTATGGTTTTCAGTTAGGAAAGGTTAAAGATTGGAGCTTTGTCTAGAGTCATGACTCAGGTTTTGGAAAGCGACAGATTCGGGTTTTGGTAAGCGACAGTCCCTACAATGATATAAAAGTCTACAACTTGTGTGTGTGCCTTTGGATGGCAAAGTGGGTTATGTTGGAGAGATGTAGAATGTGTGTGATATATTTAGTCGAGAGGCTGGTGTGTATGTGGGGTACAGAGCTGCGGTGGGCGGGGCATGTGGGGCGCCCCACTTTCCTTAAGTGGAGCTACCTGACCGTGCAAGTGTGTATGTGTGCACACTGGTACCTGACCTAGCCAAAGAAGAGAGGGTGTGTGTGCTAATGCACTGTCTCTGCAGACTGAACTACAGACAAATACACACCAGAAAGTTGCTATGATAAACACACACTCTCACTAGAGAACTACACAGCTGTGAAATTGCAGCCCGAACCCGACCTGTACCTGCAATTTCAACCTGGTCAGGCTCGACTAGTAACTGCTAAAAACCCAACCTCAGCCTGTTTTATTTTGCCAATGACCAACAGTTACCAAAACCATTCGGCAGGCTTGTCATATACATGCAAGGTTGGGACAGCTACTGAAAAATTAGTAGTTAGCTACTTTCCCAAAAGTTGTAGCTATCTACAATTTAGCTCCTTGTCCAGAAAAGGTAGTGGCTACTTTTTAGCTACTTTCTGAAAAGTAGTGCACTACTTTTAGCTACTTTCAAAGCGCAATTGTCAGAATGTTTGTGAATCTCCACCTGACACACCAACAAGCCCAACTGACAGTGTGAACAAGACACTGCATTTAATCATGTGCCAGAAAGAAACATACAATTGAAAAGGTGTGATATCCAACAAAGAAATTAGACTAAGTAAAGGCAAAGTCAATCATTCCAGGTTTTTCCTAACAAAAATCAACAAAAATAACTGTATACAACTTTGTGCAAAGAATTGTCAACTGTTTAAATAAAACCGCTCCAATTTGAACATTTCAGCAAGATATACAAACATGACATTCAGAGTCCTTTGTTAAACTTAAGCAACACTTCAGCCTCAAAATTCTCATCAGTGACCCTGGCTCTGTTTGGGGTGAGAATCAGGCCTACGCAGCTGAATAATCTCTCCACTGCTACAGAGCTGTTGGACGGAGCCCCTAAGGGGCCGTGGTTAAAAAAAAAAGGTTAATGACATTGCGTTCCCTCGCAAATGTCTTGCGTTCCCTTGCAAACGATATATGCATTCCCTCGCAAATGTTTTGCCGTCCCTCGCAAAAAATATGCGTTCCCTCCCAAATGTTTCGCATTACGATGCAAACGGTTTGCAATCGCTTGCAAAAGCTGTGTTTTGCTTAAGCTCAGAGGTGGAGCAGCTCATTGAATTTACGCTTATCTTGTATTTAAATATAAAGACATAGTGTCGCTTCTCAAAATCAAACATAATTATGCTGTTAGTGAGCGCAAACGGAAACTGAGATCGTGTCCTCGTACAGTAAAAGCTACATTTACAGACACTGCAGAGAACAATTGCTGAATAAACTCAGCATAGACTGGCGAAACTGGGAAAACAGTTTTCAACGTTAGCGATGCTAAAAACAAAGCTCTAATGTAAGCAATGTCGTTGGGCACCGCTGGTCCTACGTTTGCTTGCTGTCTGACAAGCATATATTTTGCGAGGGAACGCAATGTCATTAACTTTTTTTTTAAACCACGGCTCCTTAGGGGCTCCGTACTGCTGCGGCAACAACGGTAATCTGCAATAATTTAGGAAGCTGAAGTCGCTTCTCTTTCTCCTGCATCCCGTTCTAATTTTCCCGTTACACCTTAAATGGCGCAGCAGTACAGTCTGGCGCCTCAGGCACTATTTAAGGTGGAAAGGGACAATTCGAACGAGAAGCAGAACAAGAAGCGACTTCAGCCTCGCAAAAAGTCGAACATTCACGGACATTTTACAAGAAACTCGTGGAAAAGTTTCCTGACGTGCAGGAAAAGCGGCTATAACTGAGCTAAAGGTTAAAGCAGAGCAAACTAAGTCTGAGTTACTGTTCATTTAATTTTTAGCATGAACTAGCATATCAGCACATACTGAGACATACTTACAACAGTGATGGTAAAACGGACATAAAATGTTGTGGCTCCCAAGGTGGTTTCATTATTGTTGAAAGGACAAAATGGCTCTTCTTAACATTTCGGTTGTGACCCCTGAGCTAAGCCTACTAGAAAGGGGTGATCAGCGCGTGACCGTTTGCTCGAACTGTCCGCGGCTCAGTCAGGATTGCACATTCACCACCAGCCCAGTTAACTACCGTGCTCTATGGTTCATTTTACGCGGATTGTCTGAAGCCTGTAGCGAAATTGTAGCGAAAATCTTCGCTATAGCTACATGAAAATTTGTAGGCGCTACAGCTATTAGCTACATTTCATAAAACTGTAGTGGCTACAGCTATTAGCTACAAAATTTGTAGCCAACTACAAAAAGTAGCACGCTACTCCCCCATCCCTGTATATATGGAGATATTTCTAAGGTGTTTTCTTTGATAAGAAAGGGGAAAGTCAAAAGAAAACAATTGGAATTGGAGTTCAAAAAAAAGTTAAAGATCTAGATCAAACGGGACTGCTGACAACCATGCAAGACCTTGCAGACCGCCAAAACTTTCACCATCAGAAAAACAGCATTAAAGCTTTTATTTTTGAGAGAGTGGAGAAAATCAAGCTGTACTCTTGCTTCAGATCTGAAAAAATCTAGAGGTATTTCTGTCTATCCTTCCACTGGGAGAAGACAACTTAGTGCTACGAGTCTGATAGTATGTATAGCTGTCAAGAAGCTGTTACTGAGAAAAGCAAATAGACAAAAACAAAGAGAATCTGCAAATCAAACAAAGAATCTGCTGGTGTTCTCAGATCGGTGGACTGTCCATCCCAGAGCCCAGACCTCAACATCACTGAATATGTTTGGGTTTGCAAGCAGAAAATTCAACCAACTTCTAAGACTGAACTTTGGAGGTATGTATAAAAATCCCTGCAGATTTCTTTAAGAAACTTACTGAGAGTCTTCTGAAAAGAATGGAAGCTGTAATAAAGGCAAAGAATGAACATGCTAAATGCTGAAAAAAATGATATTAGATGTAGTTTTTGAGGCTTCTATGCAATTTTATGTTAAATATATGTTTTCTGCTGATTTATTTGTATTTAATAGCTGTTTTGACTGGAAATTAAATAAATTATGGGTGGTCTCTGAGTAGACTATACTAGAAAAAGAGAGAGCACGCAACACAGCGTAGGTGTGTGAAGAACTGTCATAAGCATATTTATTTGAATAAAAATTAATTTACTGCATTGAAAAAATCTCTCATTAGAAAACAATCAAGAGCCTGACTCCATCTTATACATTAAAAAATTGTCCTGAACCTGTCTAGTCCTAAACTCCAGAGCATTGTTGGTAGAGGTGAAGGTATAAGAGGCGTAGAGCATACTGGCAGTGTACAGTTTCAGATTAATAGCCAGCACTGACCCCAACCACACACACACACACACACAAACACAAACACACACGCATACACAACCAGTATTAATTTATCAAAGACTCTAGAACCGAGCAGGAAGCATACAAGAGTGGGTGTAATAATAGACATCATGCACAAGCACACACGCACACAAACACACACACACACACATACACAGGTGTATACAGCTGTTCTACACCAGTGGTTCTCAAACTGGTCCTCGGGGGCCCTCAGACGGTCTGTAACACATAGGGACTGGTTTCAGAACCACTGCTGTACACTACCATAAAACACTATTAGCTAGTTAATGCCTATAAGCAATGCTAAAACCTTACATAAATCCAATATGAAGTACTTTTACCTGCAATCTATTTACAAGATGAACTTTATCAAACACTATTAGCATTATTATTATTATTATTATTATTATTATTGTTGTTGTTGTTGTTGTTACATTATTATTAATGTATGCAGTCAAAATAGTCCCTTCTTTTCTTTACTCACACAGAGATTTACTGTTAGTATAATATTCCTATACATGTTGATAATCTTTTTGCAGCTCAATTGGTGGAAGATCAGTTTCTTACATAGAATAGTGTTCCAGATGTAAACTTGATAGGTGCTTTTAAATCCAGATTAAAAACATATTTGTTTGAGCCAATATATTCTTAGTGTACTGCATTCCTTTTCATAGTCTATAATTCATAGTTCTTTCATTTTTCTACTTTGCATTTTTAACTGTAATATTTTTTCTTTCCAATGTTTTGCTATTTCTTTGTGTAAAGCACTTATAGATATTGTAACTAAAACAAAAACTGCATTATAAAGACGTTATAAATAAAGATTATTATTATTATTATAAAAAATGACTTTACTCACCTTTTCACTGAAGTTGGCGTAGCTGGACACTCAACATGGTAAAAGGAAAGACTCCAGCTTTAGAAAAATGATCAAAATCAGCTTCACTCTAAAAAAGAGCAGGGAGAGCGTTGGGGTCAAAGGTCAACAGTCATTGGGCAGCAGCTGGTCAAAAACACACACACACACATACACTAGGTCCATAGAAGGAAAAATGAGCAGAAGCATCCGGTCAGTGTGTATCCTCAGTCCAGTGTGAGTCCAGAGTGAGGAGGAATATCCGCTTTTCTCACAGCAACAGACACACACACACTCACACACTGGGAGATGGATGTGTGTGTGTGCCAGTGTGCTCCAGTTAGTGAAATGTGTATCTGACTACATCTGTGTATGAGTCACACACACACTCCAGCACAATCACACACACACACGTCTTTAAACGTCTTTAAAGTCAGTTTTTTGGTCAGATCAGTGTGTGTGTGTGTGTGTATCTGTATAAAATTAATTACTCTGTGTCTCATCACAACTCATTTAAATCGCAAGTTAATCTTTTTTGTACTTACACACTAACTCTCTCTCTAAAACTCTCTCACCACCTCAGACGTCACTAATGTGCTTAGTGGAAGAGCCAATGTGTGTGCTGGTGTGTGTGAGTGAGAGAGTTGTACAGGAGGGAAAACATGACAAGACAAAGATAAGAGGAGAGAGAGAGAGAGAGAGAGTGAGAGAGAGAGAGAGAGAGAGAGAGAGAGAGAGAGAGAGAGAGAAATGAATAATAGAATTTAGTAAAAGGCTCTTGAAAGGTAAAAAAAAATGCATAGATGTTTAGTCCATTCACACCCTGTGCGTGTGAGAGAGAGAAGAGAGAGAGGGAGAGAGATACAGAGAGAAGAAGAGAGAGATACAGAGACACAGGTAGAGACAAAGAGAGAGACAGTGAAGGACAGAGACAGAGATACCGAGAGACACAGGCAGAGACACTGACAGAAACACACATATAGACAGAGAGAGACAGAGACACATAGAGGGAGACAAGGAGAGACAGAGAGAGACACAGAGGCAGAGACACTGACAGAAACACAAATATAGACAGAGAGACAAGAGACACATAGAGGGAGATGAGGAGAGACAGATACAGAGAGACACAGAGAAGAAGAGTGACAGACACTGAGAGAGTGAGAGAGAGACAGAGAGAGAGAGTGAGAGAGGTATGCAGAGACACAGATGATGGACTAGTAGATGATGAACAGTTGTGTTTTGAGAGCCAAACAGTGTGTTGAAGCGGATGGCTTATACACACACACACACTGCTACAACCCTACACTGCCTTGCCCTCAATCTATAACAAACACACACACACACGCACACATACACGCACACACAAACACACACAGCATAGCAGCTACTGTAAGATATGTGACAGACAGAGCAGCGCACACACGCAGGCGTGTGGTGAGAGGGAGGTGTGTTAACCTGAGTGTGAGTGTGTGAAGCGACTCTACTGGCAGCTATGATGGACTGAACAGAGCAGATGGAGACACACACTCTATACATACATATATATAAATGTGTGTATATATATGTATGTCTGTGTGTGGAGATGGAGACACACATATATATACATATATATATTGTTGGTAGGTATGTATCCACATGCACACGTTCGCACATAGAGAAAGAGTATACACACACATGTATGTACAGGTGTGTGTGTTTGTGTGTGTATGTGTACATGCATGGCAAAAGAACACACAAATAACCACACGTGCGTGTGCAATGTGAACGCTGATGTACATACCTATCATCCCAACCCAGAGTTTTCCCAAATCAGAGAGGCGGAGTGGGGGAGGGGAGAGATGAGGAAAAGAGAGAAAATCAATCGCTCCGAATGAAAGAGGGACAGAGAGAGAGAGATGCTCCGAAAAAGATGGAGATAGAGAGAGATGTTGAATGAAGGAGAGAGGGAGAGATAGAGAAGACATAAAAGTTAGAGAGAGAGAGAGAGGGAGAGAGAGGAGAAAATGGGGGAAAGAGAATAAGAGAAGGGTAGAAAAAAGCAAGAAACAGAGAAAGGGGAAGAAAGAAGGGAATGAGAAAGTGATGAGAGGGAGAAAAAGGAAAGAATGAGAGGGATAGAATGAGAGAGAGAAAGGGGAGAATGAGTGACAGAGAGAAGGAGAATAGAATGAGAGTGATGGAGAGAGAGAGAAGGAGGAGGAGAGAATGAGAGCAAGATGGATAGAGAGAGAGAGCGTCAGGCAGTGAGTATTGTGGAGATGAGTGAGGAGAGGAGTATGGAATGAGGGAAGGATGGATGGATGGATGGGTGGAAGCGGGGATGAAAAGAGAAATGTGGACGCTCCCTCTCTTTGTGTGTGTGGTGTGTGGGTCACAGGTGGAGTGAATTGTGGAGGATGTAGATGGAGCAGTAGATGAGCAGACAGAGGAGAGAAAGAATGGAGAGATGGAACGACAGAGCACCTCCCAGCACCACCATCAGGAAGAAGAAGAACAAAAAGCGAAAGAGAAAAACAAATACGCCGCCAGCCGCCTCCGTGCTGCCGCGCATCCGTCCACCGCTGGAGCTCCACATAAAAACACCTGCTTTCACTCACACCCTCACACACACACAGCTGCGTGGCTGTGGGTCAAGCGTCTGTATCATTACCTGTTTAAACACACACACACACACACACACTCACACACACACACTGCACCCAGTGCATTCTGGATGAGAACTAACGCTAGTGTTCTCTCTCTCTCTCCCTCTCTCTTGGCAGAGAATGGAGGGAGGGAGTGAGAGATGGCTCCAGCAGGGCATTAGTATGCAGCGAGAGAAAAGGGAGAAGAGAGTGGAGGAGTGCAGGATGAATGGAACATAGTGAAAGGGTGTGGCACCCTCTGCTGGCCGAATACAGTCAACCTCAGCACAGAGGAGCTTCCTTTAAAGAGCAACTTAGAAAACTACATTTTTTTATGTTTTCTGAAACCAATGAGTCCATGGATCATTTTACCAAACTAGTTTAGAGTTTGAACCGCATTTTGGACTTTTTGCCTTAAATGACCCTATACCTAAATTATGTTTATTAAAATAAATGACTGAACACTGCGTTTTGTCAGTATTGAAACTTTACCAAATGTTTTGGTAATAATTATTTCGATAGTGATAATTTTAGCTAACTATTTTAGCTAATTTTAGCTAGATTTACAGACTTTGGGACACACTGACTTCAAAACAATGGGATCTAACTGCTAACCATGTGGCCATGAGGGACAGTGATACAGTCTCACTTCCAGCTCTAAAATGCAGGGGTGTGGCTAAAATAAGGCTCCGCCTAAGAAACAACACCTTGGTATATCAGCAGTGACATGAAAACGTGGGGCAGTATTTTTTTTAAATAAAGTTTTTTTTTAATTTAAACTCTTTTGCCCTCACCATGCATTGCTGTACGTAGCCTAGTTTGTGACGCAGTTCCAGTAAGTTCTCAAGACAGAATCCAGATTTGAGGTGTTTTATTGGTTGCCATATGTAAAACTGCGACATATAAAAAAGTAAAGACATTTTCATTTAAATACATGTGAAATATAAATACATGTGAAGAGTACATTACAATGTACACAAAATGATGACAGCATTTTTAAATGAACTTAGCCAACAACTAGCTTAGTAAGTATCTTAGCCACATGGTAAAAGTAAACTCATCAAAATAGAATATTTCTCCAAATGGATTAGTCATGTCATAAAAACAACTAACTACCATCACACTTACAGATTATGCTTCAACAAGAGTGAAACCACAAAGAATGGACAGGGTTGTACTTGTACTTCTTCCAATAATCAATAATTCAAACAAGATGGCTGCTCTATCACACGGCTTTACTTAATTTCACCACAAGGTGGCAGCCTTTCACCTGACTACTGGTGCCAGAATACTACCCGCTTGTCAACTTAAAGAAATGTACTTAGAATAACAAACATAGTAAGTATGGAATCTCTGTGTGTGGTAGGTGAAGTCCACTAACCATAATCTAAGTTGTATTCTTGGAAATTAAAAGGACAATTTAAGTCTCCGGAATAATTTTTGTTCACTCTTTCTAGCAATCTTTACATCAATCTTTCTAACCTTCCCATCCTTGCTGGGAAATGTTTCTGTAACAAGTTCAACTGGCCAAACACAGCCCCTCACTTGGCTGTCCTTAAGAAGAACAACATCCTTCTAGTAGGTTGGGCCTTACTGTTGGCCATTTGCGACACCCTTGGAGCTGACTGATATATTTTCCAATGCTCCCAGAAGACACTGGCTAAATATTGGATGCAATGCCACTGCCTCCTGAAGGGGTCATCACGAACTGTCCAGGTGGTATAGGTGGTGTGTCAGTCTTTTGAGCAACGCAACAGGGGTGAGTATTACAGGGTATAATGGATCTGTAGAGACCGATGTTAGAGGCAGTGCATTCACTACTGCAGCTATCTCAGCCAATGAAGGTTACCAAAACTTCATGTGTGAGTTTTGCTAAGCTGTGCTACAGCAGCATGACAACAAGAATTCGCTGTGAAACTCCAATCATATGCTCCCAGGAACCAGCCATAGGAAAAGCATGTTTTTGTCAATTTGTAACTCTTTGCAGGCACACAACAAAGGTTGTCCCATAATTAGACCTGAGAAGCTTAGCAGCACCTCTAATGGCAAAGAAACGTCGCAGGGCATTAATGAAACACAATGTATCTATCAACTCAAATTACTTCAATATAGTAATCCGTAAGCCATAAAAGCCACCCTTGAGCCTGTGTCCACAGGACCTGGCAATGAGTTGCAATCGAGCAACACCCTTTAACAGAGAACTCCAGCTAGAGAATCTTTTAAACCTTGCACTTCCAAGGTTACTTTGAGACAGGTTGGTTACACTTTCTGGATGTAGTAGTCCTGCATCCATCTCTAGGTTAACAAGACTGAAAGAGTTCTCATGTGGTTGACCTTGGTTATGGTCAATGAGGAAAGCAGGTCCTGTTAGCCATGAAAAGAAATCCACTTGCTGAGAAGGTAGGGCTCTGGTAGCATGATTGACTCAATTTAGGTCACTGTCCACATAATTCCATTGGAGAACTTGTGGGAAACATTTGATATTCTGCAC